AGAGAGAGAGAGAGAGAGAGAGAGAGAGAGAGAGAGAGAGAGAGAGATCTATAGAAATTGGTCTACAACAAACCAGTTCTTCTTAATTTCAAATGTTTATTATACTGACTTCTAGTTACTCAAATCAGTATGGGGACTTTAAAGACATCAATGTCCAGGGCTGGAGAGATAGCTCAGCTGTCAAGAGTACTTCTCGTCCAGAGGAGCCAGGTTCAATTCCTAGCACCCACATGGCAATTCACACCTGTAACTCCAGTTCCAGGGGACCTGGGACCCTCATGCAGGAAAAATACTAATGAATATCAAATAAAAATAAATCATTAAAGACATCAATGTCCAAGCTGCATCCCAGTCCCGTTACACCAGAACTTCTGTTCTCAGGCTGTTTAGGAAAGTAGGTAGTGTTCTTTGAAGTCAAAAGACCACGTGACGAAGAGGAGTCTGATAGTTAAGACTATGCCTTGACATCAGACTGATCTGAATTCAGACCCTGATACTGACTCTATATAGCAGTGGGCACATTGGGGAAAAAAAATTCTCACTTCCATTTACCTATTTCTAAAATAAGTGTTATGAATTTACTCCATGGGAGAATTTTTAAACAGGAAGTGCTTTTAACATCATTAAATTTTACCTTGAATCAGTAAGTACTCCACAGAATATAGCTTTTGCTATTTCTATGTTCTCCTTAGACAGATTCCATATTTCTCACAAACTTGAAATTGGTTAAACAAAATGTGCCCTGAGTCTTCTGAATGGCAATATAAATATATTCCGTCCACGAGGGCGAGATGGGCTTGTTTCTACCAGGTAGCATCATCTATTGATGTGTCTACTGTAGTGGTCGAACAAACAAGGTGCTGCAGGTGACTTTAAGGAGAGGAGAAATTACTCTTGAGAACTCAGTGCTTCCAAGGGCTGCAAAGTTTGAAAGTGCCATTCATATCAATGTGTACAACATTTTCACATACCTTGTAACACTGACTTTTTAATTATCATATTATAGGTTCCTAAGTAGTAGCTGTTAGATATTTTTCAAGGATCTGAGTTTTAATATACCCAAAATGTAAGAAAAACGTGACATTTTTTGGTAAGGGAATAATGTAGAGAACTTGTGATTATTCCCAATGTGTCCATGAGAGTGACGCTGTGTTACATTCAATAGCTGTCTTACCTTCAAGCTACAGCTTCTTGCACTAATCAGTATTGGTAATCTACTCTCCCTCTACTTCATGTTTTAAAGATGCCCCTGCAGAGAATGACTGGGTCCATGATTAAACTTGCCTTTCTCAGTAGATACATTCAGTATCTGGCAAATGAGTCTTTTTTTTTTTTTTGAGTTGCCTGACAGATTCATAATGAATCCAGGAAACAACCACTCTTAGAAGCTCCTCATGAAGGTCATACCAGTAGTTTGAACAAAAAAGTTAATTCTGTCAGGTGGTAGTGGTGCATGTCTTTAATCCCAGCATTTGGGAGGCAGAGGCATACAGATCTTTGTGAGTTTGAGGCCAGCGTGGTCTATAGTGTGAGTTCCAGGACAGCCAGGGCCACACAGAGAAACCCTGTATCAAAAAATCAAAACCAACCAGCCAAACAAAAACAAAACACCAAAAAATAAATAAATAAAAAAGAAGAGAAAGGAAAAAGAAAAAATTAACTTCACAATTCTTAATTGCATGTATGCATAATGAATTGGCTGATATGAGGCCATTTCTACCAATATCTAGTTTTGTAATTCACTTTATATATTGTTATTCTGAAAGTCTCTGTAATGGTTTAATGACAGCCAAATGCTTCGAATTAAATACCAACTCACTGGGTGTTAGGATATGCCACAAGTAAAATAAAGCCTCAAGAAAGGAATCTTTTAAAACATGCTGAAGACAGGTTTTGTTGTGACCCTTGAACTACACACACACACACACACACACACACACACACACATTAGTCACAAAAGATGTATTTAAATGCAAATCACAGAATGTTTGAAATGTGAGGTAGCCAAATCTCTTCTGCATGGGACAACATAGCATAAGTGCTTACAGAAGTACTTCTAGTATTTAATTTAGTTGTTCCTATTTCTTAAAATACCCTGGGAGTTCTTTGAGATCCATTTATGCTAATTCTTTCAGATGGAGAAAAGTGTTTTATAAAGTAGCAGATCAACTGTTCTAGAAGACTATTTCTGGTGCATTAGAGAAATATACTTGTATATGTCAGCAAACATTGGAATGTTATAAAACCCTATGGGATTAAGGATGTACAGACTTGTGGGTAAAAGAGTAATGGAGAGTAGAGATTATACATTAGGTTCAAGGACCATGATGCTCAAAACAGTCAACGAAGTCTTGGGGAGATGCATTAAGATTATTTTTGCATAGATCTTCACTACCCAGTAGTAGGTGATTAATGTTACCTACTCTGCCATAAACTTTATGCTATTATCTGCCACAGAAGGCATCCTTTAAGCTATATCTTTCCTGCTTTTGTTTCTTCTGTTGTAGCCCAACAGGGAATTATCTTATCTAAAAAGTATTAAATAATTTCCAGTGAACAACAATTGAATCAAAACCCCATCCATAGAATCCAAGACTTTATATTTGTCTTTATAATGTCACTTGGTGCTTTTTAGCTTCTTGAACACTTAGTCTTTACTGAGTGTCTCCATGAGCCAATGCTAACTAAGGCTTCACTTCAATATCCAGTGAATATGTAACTTCCCCAGCTTTCTAATCTGGGATGAGCCACAAAGGCTCAAAGCTTTCTCTTCTCTAAGCATGTGGAGAGTGACATCTATGTTATATTTGCATAGAGTGATATCTTACTTGTATTTCCATCTTTTTTTTTCCAGTGACTACTGTGTCGGTATATGAGTTAAATATTTCAATCAAAGTCACATCTGATTTCATTCTTTATATTTCACTTATTACCTCTTTCTCTGTGCTAAAGTATCTATTCTGTTGCAGCCGCGCCTCTCCATGTCTTGATCGTGACAACAGCAGGTGAACCTCTGCGTAATTCCTTCTCTGAACATGTGCCCCCTCTGGTCCCCTCCCCTTTGCCATTTCCTTCTGCATATGCCCCACCTCAGGATGCTTTAGTGTTGATGATGTCTAGCAAAATATATGCAGGGGTTTATGTTGTCTAAATTGAGCCCATTGCTCGCTTTCCCTTACCCAGTACCAGCAGGTACTAGGTGAGTTGGGCCAACATTAAGATGGACTCCTGTCTTGGTCATGGCCTCCGCATCGCAGATGCTTTTGTGAGGAAAAGCGCTACATCCAACTGAAAGCTTATGTTCCCATGACTAGGCAAATTGGCGGAGCTGTTTTGAAGTTTTATTAAAGGTTGTGATTTTTAGTAGCACTCAGACCCTTTTCTTCTTTGTTTTGCTTTATCTTGCCACATTCTAGGTGAGCCAAAGCCCTTTTTCTTAATGGTATTTTTTCTTGCTAGCTCTATTCT